AGCTGGACTTGAGCCAGAGCCTAGAAACTTCTCCTTATCTTTATTTCCAAGAACACACAGAGCCCACCTGGAAGCTAAGAATATTCAGGGCAGAGAGTCAAAGGTGCAGGGATACCAGACCAGAAATGGTAAACCCAGAAATGGTAAACTAGCAAACCTTTGGGCCAGTAGGGAGTGTGGGGTGGCCTTGGCCTCTGAGGGATTCAAAATCCCACCTGGGTGTTGTCCTGAACAGCCTGTAAACCAGAAGCATGCTTGGCTTCCAGGCTGCAGGCAGCAACTGCTGGGGAGTGAGCGTAAATCAGGTTTTAGGACCTGAAATCAGCCTGCTGGGAGCGAGGGCAGCAGCCTGTCTTTGCAGGCATGCTGGCTGCAATATCCTTACTACGTCTGTTGTGCCGGCAGGTTCCTCTTTGAGTCACTGGGCTTTGTGGTGAGCAGCATCTGCCTCCTACTGGGGATCTCCCTGGTGATGCGTGTGGACTGTGCCGTCAGCACCTGGTTCAGCCAGCTTCAGCTCAGGTAACGTCGGAGATGTGGGGAACCCGACCCGCTCGTCGGCCGAGGCTGTGGTTGTCTCCCTGGACCCCAGGTGCCAGGAGGGTTACATGAGCCACCAGCAGCGAGTGCCTGCCGACAGCAGTCGGGGGTGGTCCCCAGCTGTTCCCCGCTCATCGAGACGGTGTTTCTCAGCAGTGGTAGTCAGAGCTCTCGTTGGGCATCTGTTGGCAGCGGGAGGAGTCTGCTGCAGGAGCCCAAGAAGCAGGAGTCCTGAAGTGCTGCTCTGGAGAAACACCAACCCGGGGTCTTGCTGCTACTTTCCTGACAACTGTCCCCACTGTGTAGCTAGTTGGTTTCAGTGGCTGGCAAGGTGTCACGCCTGTGCAGAGACAGTGACTCGCGGGAAGCGGCCTGCTGGGGAGGGGAGGGCAGGGAGAGAGGAGAAGGAAGGTCCTGCAGCCACCACTTCTCTTTGCGTGCTCAGTTTTCATGCTGGAATCAAAGTGCACGTGGTTACGCATACAGATGGTTCCTGGGGTCTCGGTGGCAGCTGCTCCTCTGTAAAGTCAGTTGGTTGCTCTGTAGTGAGGCCCCTCTTGCCCTACACTCCCATTTTCCTGGTCTTCCTCAGCCCTGCGAAGGGCAGCAGGGAGCACTCCGGGCTGCCTCGTACAGCCTGAAGCAGGTTTAGCTTGTTGGGGGAGCAGGCGCAGGGAGAACTGGCTCCATGACCAAGAAACTCTCCACTCAGGGTCTCGGCCTGTCAGTGTCCCCTTGGGCTGGGCTGCAGCAGCCAAGGCTCCCGATCTCTTCCTGAGCGTGTGCTGCCAGATGACAGCTGTTGATTGCGAACAGTTGAGATGCAGTGGGACATAGTGACAGAGCATTGGCTCATCCCCATATTGCACCTGGTCAGGAGGAAAGGGGCATCTGGAGTAGCTGTCCCAACTGCAGGAGTGGCCTTGGTGTGAGCTCTGGTGCCTGGGAAAAGCTGCTTGAAAGCCCTGAGCAGGTGACAGTTCTTCTGGGAGGTAGTGTAGCTTGCTGGTGTGGTATGTGCTGGGGGTTGTGTCGCCTCGAAGGGTCCCCGGGCACTGCAGCCGATGGCATCTGTTACCCGCATTTGGTGCTTGTCTCCCTCCTGACCTTGGCGTTCTGTGTGGGACTTCATGCTGCAGGGTGCAGCCACCCTTGGCTCTCGCAGTCAGGAGACACCGTATTTCTTTCTTTACAGGGAGAGGTAGAGGACAGTGACCATGGTGCCTGGCCACATCCCAGCTACATTCCCCCTGCATTTCGATGGGAGCTGGGATTCCTTACTGCCCTGAACCACTGTGTGGCATTACTTGGTGCTATGAAACCTTTTGTCTCTTTCCCCTCTGCAAAGAGCTGAGGACTGCTTGCCTGGGATTCCGGCGTTAATTTTTGTTCTGATACCATTTGTTTTTTAACTCATGCACCATGACTGCCCCTTTCTGAGTTCCTCCTTGCCATCTGCTAGCGTAACTCCAGGCTCTTCTCTTCTCTGCCCTGGAGAGTCCCGGGGAAAGTGTCTCGTCACCTCATCATTTCAGTTCTTGCTGTTATGCCCAGTCACTGTGGAAGATGGCTCTTGAGGGCAGGTTTAGTTTTATATTTTACCCCTGCAAAATGCTTGTTCAGGTGTTAGGGTGCAATTCCAGGGAGGCTTAAACTGCTCTAATTTTGGGTTTCCGTTGCCTGGCCTCCTCCTGAGCTGCTGGCTGGTCTGTCCTCCCTCAGCCTCGCATCTCCCCTGCCCTGCGGGCCCGTCGTTAATTTCACCCAGCACAACCAGGGACTGGTTTGTAGCTGGCATGACTCCCTGGGCTGCCTCACCGCCTGGATGCATGCACACCAGTGCTAGTGCAAGGCAAGGGGTAGCAGCGTGCAGCAGGGAAAGCTGGAGGGGGCAGGAACGCATCAGCCCACCATTAGATGGGCTTAAGGCAGTCCCACCCTTAAAAATAGGTTATTTGCTGTATACTGTGACCCCTTGGTGGCCATAAGGTTCTCGGTGCTGAGGGGTCCATGCTGATGGGTGAGGGGTAGAGAGGAGGAAAGGGGTGGAGGTAGCAGCTACCCAGTGAATTTTCATTTAACGTGAGGTTAGTCTAGATAACACACATTGCTAAACCCCTGGGCTGGTGCCCAAATAGGTCCTGTTGTAACCTCGTAACCTGGTCAGGAGCTTGCTGCCTGAATGTGTTTGTGCTGGCAGGAATCCTTGTGGTCACTGATGCTGTAGAACTGGCCCCTGACGTCCCTGCAGCTGCCACCCAGGCCCCTGGGCATTCTTCTCTCCCATCTGTGGGACTAGTTCCTTTTTCAACAGTCACCATAATGCTGCTGAGCCTTCCTGCGCCCAGTGTTCGTGGTTGGAGCGCTCAGACGGCGCTGGGACATCCTCTCCTCATCCCTCCGTACCACCCCTCTGCCTTCCTGCTGGGGCTGCAGGCTCACGGCCCCGGCAGGCCAGGGCAAAGCAGGGGGGACAGCAGAGCTGCCGCGCCGTGAAAACACGCACATTTATCTCGACGGAGACTAAACAAAACTTGCAGCAACACAGCTGCAAGTACATGCTTGTCACTGCAGAGATGCCAAGGAGTGCTAGCTGCTCGGCCAAGGCAGACTGCCTACTACACCAAAGAATTCAAATTCAAGAAGACGAGTTTTCCAAGGGCTGGAGATGCTCTTGCTTTCTTTCATTGACAGTTTTAGTCTTTGCCAGCCTTCCCCAGCTGCCCTCAAGCTGACTGTTTGGCTGCCGTTCTCCTGAGTGTGCCGGGGATGACAGAGTTAATGTTGGTCCAAGGCTTGGCGACCTTGGAAGCAGGACACGCTGCTGATGCTAGAGCAGACGTGGCTGTGTTTGCTGATCTAAAACCCCAAGGAGTGTCCAGAGGAAGGTGCCCGCTGTCCAAACCAAGGCTCTGCCCTCTGCCCCGGGCTCTGACTCGACTTGCCATTTACTGGCTCGGAGCGAGATTGTTGTTTTATGTTTTGTTATTAACCTCTCTGTGCCTCAGTACCCCATTTGGGGAAAAAAAAAAAAAAAAAA